CTTACAGAACATCTCGTGACAGGCCCTGTTCTAGACACTGGTGATACAGTGTGATGCTATGAAGGAACTTAGGTCCACGCACAGAATTATAATCCATGCAGTGATTAAGACAGGTGGAAAGTACAGCGAGGGCACAGACGCTCACCCAAGTCTGATGAATAAGGGATAAGCTACAGTCGAAGGAGCAGGAGGTTGCAGCTGATCGTTTCTAAAACAGGACATTTCAGACAGAAGGACTAGCATGTGCAAAGATACTGAGGTGTGCACTAGCATAGTATAGCCTCCTCGGATAACTAAAAAACGTCACTGTGTGAGCATCAAAGTGTGTATAGTGGGGTGCGGTGGGAAGTAGTGGGGGACTGGTATGAGACGGGCCTTTAACAGTTAGATAGGGGTTACATCATAAAGGGAATTCGACTTCATCCTGGAGGTGAATTTTATAAGCAGAAGAATGGCACAATCATTTAAATTTCAGAAAGATTACTTTAGTAACTGAAAGGAAGATGGATTAAAACGAAGTAATAATGCCAGCGGCTGACACTAGTAAAAATGGTATTACATTATACAAACAGAGGTAATGAGGGCCTGAACTTGAGAAGCAACAGGGGAAATGAGAATCAGGTTACCGATTTAAATAATACTAAGAAAATAAAATATGTGACAGACACAGGTTCCTGGCTAACTGCCATTTCCAGCTCCCCGCTTTCCTTACCCACGACTCATCAGAAAGCTAAAAAAGCCAGCTATCCTCTTCCTCTACTTCCTCACAGTCATATGCGAGCCCCAGTCTGGACTCTCCCTTGGGAAAGGAGAGTGGCTCTGGCAAAGCCTTTCCTTCTATCAAAAGGAGACAGGTGCATGTAGAGAAAGGCCCTGCTCACCTCTGCTTTCATGTCCTGCTGAATGAGGATACTGTATTTGGTGCTATGACAGCCGTTCTACAACTATGAGGGGACATCCCAGAAGCAAAGCCAACATGCTGATGACAGCAGAGGAGAAGGATGGAAAGTCTTGGTCTGTGATGAGTTGGCTGAGGTGCTGAACTAACCTGGGGTCTGTTTATTTGTGAGCTTAAGTATTGTTCCAGTTTAAGCCACTGATTGCCAAGCTGTTACTTTCAGACAGAATCAACCAAAGTAAGAGACAGGGCCTGGTGACTTGACTATGAAGGGTCTACAATTAAAAGAAATTTAGTTTTACGCCCAGGGCTCTGGCTTGGAAAACTGAGTAGACGAAGGTGCTAGTTACAAGATAAAATTACAACACAAGAGGTATTGGTGGGGGGCAGGGGGTTGGATAGAGTAAAGGGGACGGGTCTGACATGAGGAAAGCAGGGGCTGGAAAGTTTGTTCCACGTTGCTTTGGTAACATTATGAAACTATTTAGATGAAGAGTCTGGAACCCATCCAAAAAGTCTAACTTAGATCTGCTGACATTCAGATGTCAGATCCTATCAGACCTGCATGACCTAGTCTCATGGCGATGGGAGGGTCAAAAGAATGGAGACCAGACCAAAACTTCCTTATTTGAAGAGTCCTAGAAAGTGTTTCTTTTCTATCTGAAGATGTGCAGATGCTATTTAAAAAACAGAAAGAAAATTGTTTAAAGAATTAATCTATAAACATCATCCCACTACTGCACTTTTTTTATTTTATAAAAATTCATTAGTAGTCAAGATAATCTGAAAAGCACATAATCTGGATTTATGACAAATGAAGGCCTTGTGCTCGAGTTACTACACCAGAGATCGTCCCAGCAAATGAAACAAATCTGAATCACCTGCTTTACTGTAAATTAGGAATATGTGAGTAACCTCATTCCCAGGACTTAGAAAATAACTCCAGGACATGTTTTATTGGTGGTAGATCCCTCCAAAATACAAAGAAAAACATAATCATTGAGAAGGTGTCAGCAATAATTTCGCAGCGCTGTGTGTCAGATTAGGTAACCTTATAAGGATTATACTATTCCGCCATGAGAAGCAAGTTAATGCAGGTGGCCTTGATACAATTATTTGTACATGTGGCAGAATTATGGATGAAAAGAAATGATCAGCAGTTCCAAGTTAGGGAACAGTAAAAATACAGTCAGAGCTAAAGCAGGTGACAGTCTCACAGACAAGTGGCACAAGGCTATATGGCAAGAGGTCCCTATAAACAGTGATTATAAGCGCAAACCAAAGGTTGATTTTCATGTTTACAAAGTATGGACTAGACAGCTGATGTATTAGGCGTGTACAGACCACAGCAATTCTCATCAAAGGCATCTATGATGAATAGGAAGTACTACCAAAGAGAAGAGGAATATGCCCTTGATAGCAAGCAAAAATGTTTCAAAACCCAGTACTGACTTGAGAAAAATGAGTATAATAAATACAAATTTGTCCCTCAACCCACTGGTCTCAATTCTAAAACATAACTCTGATCATGCTGCTCGCGACCACAAAACTTTTAAGTGGGTTCCCCTGGCTCACAGAATCCCCTCAGCCCTTCATTCCAGCCCCAAACTAATAAAAAGTTCTAGTCAAACTTGCAGTTTTGTCTCCTTTCATGCATCCTACTGATCCAGCTGATACTACTCAAATCCAACCTGTTTTCCTGCTCCTGCCATTCTGTTCATACCCATTGTTCTCTGCCTGCAGAGATCCTACCAATTCTTCAAGTTTTGCCCCTTTATTTTTCAACATTCCCTGATCCTACAACAGGTAGTACCCTCCTTACATCTTATTTTGCTCTTAACAAAATCATGCTATTCTGTTTTGAGTTGTTACTACTGCTGTACCTCCCCTATGATATTCTAAATTCTTTAAAGAAAAAGAATAATTCATTTTTGTGACTTCTACAGGAGCATAATTAAATAATTGTAGATAGCTGTATAAGTGACATAAAACAGTCACGGACCGAAGTCTTCAAAAGAACATACAAGGGCAAGTTTATTAGAAGTTTAATAATTCAACTATTTATCAGTTTGGTAAACATTCATATGCTCCTCCTGTTGACAGGAGAAAAGCAATATGTAGGAAATAAACATGGGACTTATTCAGTAGAGAAGATAATAAATCACAGTGGTCTAGAAATTCCAGACCCTGTTTTTAGTTATCTTAAACTAAAGGTTTAACTTAATCTTTTTCTCTACTTGCTTCCTCTGTGCCTACCTACTTTATCAAAGTGATGATAGTATATCTTCTCTTCTAGATTATTAAACCCTTCAAGGAACAAGATCTTTGTTAATTAGTTAATACTTTTAACATCTCTCAGAACACTCTCCCTTTTAAAAACACTGGTTTAAATGTCTTGAGCTTTTCCTACATTTATCACGATTAGCAATGATTTTTGTGATTCACAGAATATCTAAAGTATAAAGAAGCCCATGATATGCCAAGGAACGTACTTTCAGTTTTATTAAAGAAGCAAAACTGTTCTCTTCCTCTGCTTCCAAAGTTCCTTTTAGGCTGTGAAACTGTGTCCTTCTGGCCGCTGCCTAATCCTAATTTAGAGAGGGGTTTAATAATCTAGAAGAGAAGGTATACTATGCTCTCAAGAACAGAATATATCCTAAGGGATGGTTTGTAATAGTCTTCATGAATAAATAAGAAACCAAATTCAGATCAGTAGGGTGGGGAGTGGGGGCAAAGAAACAGTAAGGTGGCAATGAAAAGTCTGGAAAAATAAAGGTAATCCAGCTGACCACGAAAAATTGAAATCTGGAGAATTATTTCTTAATCAGTGATACAGGCCAAAGACTTTCAAGTGTCATGCTTTTCAAGGACCTCCAGTTCTGATGACTTTTCTCTGTAACTTTTTCTACTTTTCTCAGTGTGTTAACCTTTCACCTCCAAGCTCTTATGTGAACTCAACAGAGAACTCACCTCAAATCCTAGGCAGTTTCTATGTCCTCTTGACATAACCCCCAGATCATGGTAATAATCTGGGAATTCCTTCCTACCCAAGATGTTACACTGTAAATTTAGAAACTGTGGACAATGCAAGGGAAGAAAAAGTTTAGATCTGTGAATGAGAACCAAGACTCCTGACCTCCAGTATTTCTGCCCTCCTGCATCTTTCAGCCATCAAAAATAAGGATGGGGACTTCCTCATTTGCCAATCCACGTACAAGAAATTTTAAGAAAAACTAAGAAATTACAAGACAAAAACGAATCCCCCCAAAGCAAACAGACGCAAGCATGCATCTAACCGCAACGATAATTCTCTACCGGGTATTTCAATTCTCAGCGTAAGGCAAACCAATCCTTGGACTCGACTGTTTGTGCTTGTAGTACTCGGAAGTCAGATGACATAATAAACAAGTTCTTCCCTTCCCACTCCTGTGGTCACGTCAGATACCTGTTGCATCACCTGCAAAGTGGTCTTCACAAATCTAGTAAAGAAGCATCACCATGATCTCTAAATAATTCAGCTGTTTTCTTGATAAATTTTAGCCTCATTTATTTTAATGAGGTTGCCTTGGAGGCAAGGGCGTGTTGACTCCTGTTCACCTTTAAAGAGATTCTAGCATAGACATCGACAGCTGTGCCTTTCTGCACTCGGAGGGACTTAAGAGTTTTGAAGACTTGGGCATAATGAAAGATATTTGGTTCGGCAGAAGCAAAGGAGCAGGGAGAGCAGGCAATCGAGACGGGGGAAGTGGGGCACCCTCGGAGTCCCGGTGGTGGGAGTGGGAAGTCAGACCTGCGACGGACGCTTTGCGGAAAGGACACTGCTCGTCAGCCAAGGTGTCGGGCCCAGGGCCAGGGTCCGAGCCAACCTGGGGGCGCGTGAGAGATTCAGATGGCCCCGACCCTGGGCCGAAGCCCTTGGGCAGACCGGGCATCACGAACACGCGCGAGGATTAGAAAATAATAATACTCCCCTTCCCCCACCCCCGGAGAGCTAAGCTGGAGGCGGAGACGCGAGGCAGGAAGCGCATGGGGCCGGGGTCCGAGCCGGACCCGCGAGAGGATGCCTGGGCCGGGGCTCGGGGCCGCCAGGGGCCGCACTCACCATGTCGTACACGTTGAGCACCACTAACTGGTTAGCCCCCATCCTCCTCCCCGCGGCCGCCGCCTCGTCCTCCAGCCGCTCCGTCTCCGCGGGGCCGAGGCCGCTCTCACCCCCGTGGACGCTTCAGGGGGCCAGAGCTGGGCACTAAGCGCACAGCCCGGCCCGCGGAAGCCAGCACGGGAGCATCGGGAAGCCGGGCCGCTCCCGGGCGCCGCCGACAGGACCGTCTGCGCCGACCGGGCCGGACCGGTGGCGGGCCCGCTCTGGCTCAGGGACCTCCCCTAGGAGGCAGGCACGTGGGGAAAGGCGGGGCCTGAGCGAGGGGCGGGCGCCCAGCGCCCCGGGGGCGGGGCCAGCCCGGCGCCGGGGCTGAACCTGCCTGCGCTCCGGCTCTTCGCTGCCGTAACTCGGAACCTAAAATGGCGCAGTTTCTGCGCCTCTCCACCGTGGAGGAGTGGGGTCCCAGAAAGAATGTGGTTCCCAGAATGCGGTGGGGGATTCCCCCGCTCGCTGCCTGAAGCAAAGAGGCGGAGTCTCAACAACTATGGGTCTTCGTCGCGGCCTCGACTACAGCTCCCAGCATGCTGTGCGGTTCCCGATCCTATCAGACCAGGCCTTCTCATGAGACTACAGTTCCCAGCATGCACTGCTTGCGGGGGGTGGCGGGGGTAGGCGGGTTGGTTCTGTGCCTGATGTTTTGCAGTCTGCCCTTGGCTGGCTTTGAAGTCTTGTGTGTTTGACCCCTCTTCGGTGGTGCTACTGCTGTTAGTTTCTGTCACTTTGAGCCCGATGAAGCCAACGAAATGTGACAAAACACTATAGCAATGACTTGCTTTTCCAAATCCCTCCTCACCTTTTTCTTAGGAAGGGGCGGGGGTGGGGAAATAGAGGAAGGCAGATTACTGGTGAGGGAGGGGTTAACATGCATCCAGTTAATCCTCAGTATGGAATTTTGCATTTTATGAAACTGTCCTGTTGAGATGGGAAGAGCGAAAAGTACTTATAGGTTAGCACAACCCTAGGACACGGTGCTTTTGTATGCATTCAACAAATATTTGTCGTGTGTCTGCTATGTGCTAGGCAATTTTGTAGGCCCTGGGGAATACGGTAATAAACAGGAGGGAGGAGGAACAAAATATCGGTGATAGGTGATTTCCAGAGAATTGAAATAGGATGAATTGATTGAGAGTAATTTTAGAGTGGCTGCAATGTGAAGGTCTCTTGACAAGGTGAGGTTTAAGCAGAGATCTGAATGACAAAAAGCCAGCTCTGCAAATAGCAGGACAAGTATCCCATTAAAAGGGAACCTCAAAGCCAATTGATTCAACCAATTAGGAAGCTATTCCACAAGTGCATGCAAAAAGGTGACTTGGGTATTGGGGGTAGTGTGGAATACAGAAAATTAGAGAGCTTTCGCATGTTTTGGAAGTAGAGGCTACAAGACTTGCTAATGGGTTTGGGTGTTGAGTTTGTTAGGGAGAGAATATTCAAGTATAACATAGATTGCTGACTTTGGAAATTGTGAGAATGTCGGTACTATTTATAAGATGTGAAAATTGGGTAGAACAGGTTGAAAGTCAAGCTTATGGTTTGGTCATGTTAAGTTGGAGATGCCTTTTAGACATCCGTGATGTCAAGTAGGCATTTGAATAAACTGCCCTTATACAAGTAGACTCTAAAGCCTTGGGACTGATTGCATGACAAAGGAAAAGGCGTAGCTAAAGAAAAAGGCCAAAGATAAATCTCTGTCTAGGATCCGTCATTTAGAGGTCAAATGAAGGAGGAAGAGGAGACGGTGCAGTAGGAAGCTTGTGAGGAGCATTATAATCTAACTACCAGCCTATCTACATCAGTTCCCATGAGCGCTGTTCACTTTCAGCACTGGATCTCATTCCATCTTGCCTACTTAAGGATTTTAATCCAGCAGGTAGCCCCTCTCTCCTGCATCATCAGTGTTCCCTAGCCCCTGGATTATTCCTATCAATGCTCAATAACATCTTCCTGACCTCATCTCTGCCTCCAGTTGTCCTCCATTTCTGGGCTCCCTGTCACAGAGAGCTCCCTTGAATTGTCTGCGCTCACTGTCTCCACTTCTTCATTTCCCATTCTTTGGTTCACGATGAAAAATTTTATTTTTTTTATGGTTAATTAATCAGTATCAGTTCAACGTGGTGGGAAGCAATAGCAAGAAAACATATCTGGAATGACCTGATTTTAAATTTGGTGACTATCACCCTTTCATTTGTCTTTGTGCAGAGACACATCAATTTACATAAAGAGAAGATGTTACTGTGTTTCTGTTGTTTCCCCTTTCTTCAGTTTTGAGGGTTTTGTTTATATCCTCCCCTCTCTATGTCTCTTGATGCACTCTCACTTCCTTCCCGCAGTGATACACATGCACATAACGTAAACAAAATGGTATGCATCCTTCCATGCTTTTCTTCATGTTCTCATACACAGAGATTCTGTTTTGTTTATATAATGGGGTCATACTGTAAATACTTCTCTGTAGCTTGCTCTTCTCATTTAATGAAACCTTGTTGAAAATCTTTTAAATTACTAATACAGGTTGATTTATATGGTCAATGTACAATTATTTATTAAACCATTTACACACACACACACATCTATTGGTTCTACTTCTCTGGTTGAAATCTGAGTGTTACAAATATTAGTTGTTTAGAAAGCTGTGATAACATCTGGACAAATTAAGAAGACTATTTTGAGCATTTAAATAAAAATTTTAACTTTAGAACATCAGCTTCTTATTTTCAGTATCATAAGTTGTATAGTTCATGTGTGAATCCACCATTAGAAAAACTTCTGAAATATGTTTAAGACAGATTATTTAAATACACACACATTAAGTTTTTTTATAGGTAAATGATAGCCATATGAGGTTTCGTGTCACAAGTTTTATGCAAAATAATATTTGATACATTTATACATTTTCAAAATTTACTTTCATTCTTAGGAAGGATTGTAATAGCCAAATTTAGTTTTTAAAAATTTATGTCTTAAAGCTGTATAAGAGTATATAAACAACCTTAAGATAAATGCAAACACATTAAGAATAAATTTAATAACAGTGTATATGAAAATATTTCTGCTTTGGGTAATTTAAGAATGTTTTTCAGATTTTGAATTTGATATACTATGACCTCATGCTTTATATTTCTTGATCAAACACATGCTCTCCATATAAGCATTATACACACTCCTTCTACGTACATATATCCATGGTAAACTTTCATTTTCTCTAATTATTCTTTAGTTTTCTTTTAACTTTGTGAACTGGTGCATAAATATATTTTCTATAAATTCTCATATAATGGAAGTAGCTCAAAATGAGAATACTAAAGAACAGTAGCATCAGGAAGAGAAGAATAGAAGCAACCAGGTAGCCATTTGGACTGAAATAAGAAAAAAAACAAATCATTAGAAATTATTGTTCACTTTGGTTGTTGATTTATTTAGTTAAACAATTTTGAATAGCTAGCTACTATGCCACTGACAGAGCACAAAGATGAATAAGACATCTTGTCTATCCTCAAAATGTTTACCTCTTAGTGTTTGAGGTTGACCTGGGAGGAAAATAGATAGTATGATAAATATAATGAGAAAAGCGACTGCAAAAGGCTATAATTTCCCAAAGTTACTTAGAAACAACACGTCTTATCTCATTTGCAGATTATTTGCACCATGAACCTCTCATTAGTACAAAAAAATTGAGGAATCAGTAATATTTAAAGTAGAGCCATAAATAATTGTTTGTCTTCCTCTTTTGTTTAACATTTTACAAAAACCAAAACCAAACAAACAAATAAAACCCAGGGTCCAGGACAGAGAACCAAAAGCATTTGCAATCCCAATTTTAGAGTTAAGACTTTTTACTCTGCTCCCCAAAGAAACTGGAGTGGGCTCCAGAGAAATGCTTTTACTACTAGCTTCCCAAACGATAGATAGATACATCAGGACGATGGCCAGTGGTCGAGGGCTGACTCAGGGCCAGTGGGGGCACAGCCACTGTCCCCTCCAGTCCCATTGCCGCAGTTTACTGCCTGCCCCTTAGATGGAGTTGAAAGACATGTATGATGGGAAGACAGTGGCTGTTGAGGGGGATGGAACCAAAGGGGACCCCAACTGCAGTAATGATTCTCAGGAGTTTCTTCCTGCTGTACCTGGATAATAGATTCATACAATTTCTAGCACATCACACATAGGGCAGAGATATTAGGGACCCAGGGAAATGGGAGAGGGGCCTTTCCTTGTTAGCTACCACCCATGTCTTTTACACCTTCTCTCATTAAAGGCTGATTAGGCACAATCATTACCTGGGAATAGTTCCATAGATCTCTATTGCAAATACAGCCATTAGGGGACAGAAACTGCAAAGTAGAAAAATAATATTAAAGATTAAGTACAATATATTAAAACCCCATCGACGTGTCTATGGTAACAATCAAAACATATATAATCTTAGTTAAGGTGTCATTTTCTTGAGAATAGATACATTTACAAAACAGCGGTGATAATTTTTCCATATGTGTGACTTAGGCTGCTTGCTGGAAAATTCCTAGAGCTTGTCAGTGCAACTTCACTGTCCTCCTAACAGCTTTACATCATTTTGATAGCGGTTCCTAAGGCAACAGCAATAATGATATTAATAATAATTAACAATAAGTATTGACAACATAATAAACAGTTAACATTTATTGAGCAATAATATTTATTGAAAATGAATACTAATTGAGCAGTTGCTATGTACCAGGCAGTGTACCAAATGTTTTACAAATGATCTTGGTTAATCCTTATAGCAGCCCTTCCTTTTAGATGAGAAAACTGAGGCTTAGAGAGGTGAAGCTACTTGCAAAAGTTTACACTGTTGTGAGCAGAGCTGGGATTTGAATTCAGGGTTTTCTGTCAAAGTGTCTCTGATATTCAATAATGTAGGCTGACTCCTTCAGGAAGCTGAGAATGTCAGGAAGTTGATACATGAAATGGTAATGTTTCTAAAGTTACTGAGTGTCTCTCAAAACTTAGCATACTGATTGGAATGAGACAAGTTATAGCTAAATAAACATTAATGATTTGATTTCACCTACCTTCATGTGGGAGAAAAGAAAAGGAACTTAATTAATATTAAGTTCCAGCAAAGTTAGGGATTTTTACCCAGGTTCTTCATTTAATCCGCAGAATACTATAAGACATAGGGTTGTCGGAAAAGTCATGATGTATTTTTTTTATGTTTTTCAAAGGTCATTTATTTCTATAAAGAACAAAGATCAATCAATGATATATTGCCTGTTTTGTTCAATAATCTTTTGCCATCTTTCAGTGATTTTCATAATTCCTCATAGAAGGACCTGTCTTTATCGGCGAAAAACTGAACAAGGTGCTGATTTACAGCCTTATCTGAATTGAACGTTATACCACGCAAGGAGTTTTGAAGAGAGCGAAACAAATGGAAGTCTAATGGTGCAAGGTCATGCGAGTATGGTGGGTGTGGCAACACATCCCAGCCAAACTTCAATAATTTTTGACAGGCCATCAAACTTGTGTGTGGTCCCACATTGTTGTGATGGAACACAACTCCTTTACAATTAACAAGCTCTGGATGTTTCTGGATGCTGGATTCATTCAAACTGTCCAATTGCTGACAGTACACATTCGAACTGATTGTTTGGTTCCTTGGTACGAGCCTGAAAAACACAACACCTTTAAAATCCCACCACACTGAGAGCATAACCTTCCTCTGATGAATGTCTGCTTTTGATGTCGTTTGAGGCGAATCATCACGTCGGGACCAAGACCATTTGCACACCAAATTGTTGTAAACAATTCACTTCTCATCACCAGTTATCAGTCGCTTCAAAAAAGGATCGTTTTCCTTATGTTTAATGAGCATATCACAGATGTTTATATGCGCCGTCAAATGAACTTCTTTGAGTTCATGCAGAACCCAAATATCGAGCTTGCTTATGTATCCCAGCTTTTTCAGGTGTTCGTGAATGCTTGAATGATGGATGTTCAATGTTTTTGCAATCTCTCATGTTGTGTAACGTGGGTTTGACTGGATCAATGCCTTTATTTTGTTGTCATCAACCTTGGTGGGCCTCCCTGACTGAGGAGTGTCATTGAGATCAAAATCACCAGCACAGAATTTCATGAACTACTGTTGTCACTGACATTCTTGTAGAGCATTGTCACTGTGAACTTTATGCAACTTTTCACAAGCTTGATGCGCGTTTTTCCCTTTACGGAAGTAAAACAGTAAAATATAACAAAAATGCACAGTTTGGTCTACCATCTTCAACTTATAAAATCTCCAAAACTCAACCAAATCACTCAATTTTTTTTTAGAATGAAGATAGAACTGCCAGCTGTCAAATGACATAGAAATAACAGATGTGAATGACTCTAGTACTTCCAAAAATTAACTAGCGCCATCTGTTGCAAAAATGCGTCATGACTTTTCCGACAACCCAATAGGTATTATTGACTCATTTTACAGAGAGAAATAAGCTGAAAGAGACAGCTTAAGACTGTATAACTACTACTGGCAAAATTAGGATTCAAAGCAAAGTAGACTTTCTAGCACAATGCCCTCAACATCCATCCATGTTGTTGCAAATGGAAAGGTTTCCTCGTTTTTTAAAAAAGATTTTTATTAATAATTAACTAACATATAGTATTACATTAGTTTCAGGTGTACACAATAGCTATTCAACATTTATATACCTAAAAGTGATCACCATAAGTCCAGCAACCATCTGACACCATACTGTGCTATCACAATATTATTGACTATATTCTCCATGCTGTACATTACATCCCCATGACTTACTTGTTATATACCTGGAAATTTGAACCTCTTATTCCCTTATATCTTCCCCCCCTTTAAAATTTTTCAATTACAGTTGACATTCAATATTATTTTATATTAATTTCAGGTGTACAGCATAGTGGTTAGACAATTGTATAATTTAAGAAGTGATCCCCTGACTAGTACCCACCTGGCACTATACATAGTTATTACCATATCATTGACTATATTTCCTATGCTTTTACATCCCCATGACTATTTTGTAACTACCAATTTGTACTTTTTAATCCCTTCCCCTTTTTTCACCCACGCCCCTAAACTCCCTCCCATCTGGCAACCATCAAAATGTTTTCTGCATCTATGAGTTTGTTTCTGTTTTGTTTTTAATGTTGTTCTTAGAGTCTACATATAAGCAAAATCACATTGCATCTGTCTTTCTCTATCTGATGTACTCCACTCATCACAATACCCTCTAGTTTCATCCATGCTGCTGCAGATAGCAAAAACCCATTTTCTTCCATGATTGAGCAATAGTCCACTGTATATATGTACCACCCCTTCTTTATCCATTCATCCATCCACAGATACCTAGGCTGCCTCCACATTTTGGCCACTGTAAACAATGCTGCAATGAACATATGGATGCACATGTCGCTTCAAAGTAGCATTTTGGATTTCTTTAAATAAATACAAAGAAGTAGATTATTGGGTCCTTTTTTTGTCTCATTATATCCTTTGATTTAAAGTCTGTTTTCTCTGGTATAAGTGTTGCTATTTTTCTTTTTTCTTTCTTTTTTTTTTCATTTCCATTTTCATGAAATAACTTTTTCTATCCCTTTTCACTCTGGGTGTGACTTTCAATCAAAAATCTTTTGTAGGCAGCATATGTAAGGGTTTTGTTTTCTTATCCATTCAGCTACCCTAAGCTTTTGATTGGAGCATTTAATCCATTTATATTGAAAGTAATTGTTGATAGACGTGTAGTTATTGCCTATTATTTATAATTTTGATTTTTTTTTCATCTTAAATAAGTCCCTCTAACATTCTTTGTAATACTGATTTGGTGGTGATGAACTCCTTTAGCTTTTTCTTGTCTGGGAATCTCTTTATCTGTCCTTCGATTTTAAATGACAGCCTTGCTGGGTAGAGTAGTCTTGGTTGTAGGTCCTTGCTTTTCATCATGTTGAATATTTGGTGCCAATCCCTTCTGGCCTGCAAAATTTCTGTTGAGAAACTAGCTGACAATCTTATGAGAGCTCCCTTATAAGTTACTAGTTTCCTTTCTCTTGCTGCTTTTAGGATTCTTTCTTTGTCTTTAACCTTTGCGATTTTAATTATAATGTGTCTAGGTGTGGGCCTGTTTGGGTTCATCCTGTTTGGCACTCTCTGCATTTTCTGGGCTTGTCTGTCTATTTCCTTTGCCAGGTTAGGAAAGTTTACAGTAATTATTTCTTCAAATAGATTCTCAATCCTTTGCTTTCTCTTCTCCTTCTGGTAACCCCTATGGTGTGAATGTTGTTATGCTTGATGTTGTCTCAGGGGTCTCTTAAAACTATCCTAAATATTTTGGATTTTTTGTTGTTATTGTTGTGATTGGGTGTTTTCTGCCACTTTGTATTACAAATTGCTCATTCAATCCTCTGCTTCATTTAATCTGCTGTTAATTCCGTGTAGTGCATTCTTCATTTCAGTTATTGTATTCTTCACTTCTGACTTTTAAAAAATGGTCTCTATGTTTTGTTTCTTTTCTGCTTGCTATCTCTTTGTTGATGTTCTCACCAAATTCCTTGAGCATCCTTATAACCATTGTTTTGAACTCTGTCTCTGGTAGGTCACTTGCCTCCATTTCTTTTAGTTCTTTTTCTGGATTTTTTTGGCCTATTCATTCATTTGATATGTATTTCTTTGTATTTTGGCTGCCTCTCTGTTTTTGTTACTATGTATTAAATAGATCTGCTATGTCTCCCAGTCTTGGGCCAGTGGCTTTATGTAGTAGGTGTCCTGTGGGGCCTTAGTGGCACAATCTCCCTAGTGACCAGAGCCAGGTACTCCAGGAGTGTCCCTTTTGTGGGTTGTGTGTGCCCTCCTGTTATAGTTGAGCCTTGATTGTTTTTGGCACATTACTAGATGGGATTGACCTTTAGGCTGACTTGACTGGCTGTGGGGTTTGGCCATATCCACAGCTTTTGGGCTGCTGTGGGAGGCCTTACTGTACTGAGTGGGATTTGCCCTAGCAGGCTTTGGTGACTGTTGATGTCATTCTTTGTGTGTGCTGCTTGTGAGGCTAATTGGATGGGGCTCTGCTGTGGTCTGAAGCCAACCTGCAAGGATGTTGGTTCTGGGACCTCTTGGGAGAGGCTCTGTTGCACGCCCAGATCACCCACTGCCTGTGACTGGCTGGGGGCTACCTGGTAGGAGCTACAAAGGAATTTACATTTGGTTACTGTGTGTGCTGTACCTGGAGATGGGTGGGAGAGGCCATGCTGGGAACCGAGGACAGCTGCCACTGGTACCATGTTTGGGGTAGCCCTGCAAAAAGCCAGGACACTCTGAGGCCTGCTACCACCTACTGGCCCCTGTAAGTTTCAGCCACTGATATAGCCTCCTGCAGTAGGCAAGTTGGGTGAGGCAGGGTCTCAGGGAGTCACTAGAGTGGGAAGAATTATGGTCACCAGGTTAATGTAAATTCGGAGACTCAGGAAAAGTCTCAGAGCACACTGAGGCCATTCGCAGCCTGCATGGGCCTGCTGGACTCTGATAGTTTTCCAATAAAGAGTGCAGTGGGGGTGGGGATGGGGCTGGCTGCTCATGGAGAGAGTGCCTGTGGCAGTGCATGTGCATGACTTGTGTGGGGCGGGGTCCCAGGGAGTCAGCAGGGCAGAGCAGGGGAGCTCACCAGGCCAATCAGATTCAGATCTGGCCGGTGGGGGTGGGCTCAATACGGAAAAGATGGTGCCCACCTGCTGGCTGCACAGGACTCCTCCTCCTCACAGGGAAAATGCCGAATGTCCTGTAGGCCTCCCCAGGGAAGCAGCACACCTCAGTCTGCCCCCACATATATCTCTGAGGCACCCCAGTCACCATCCCTCCACTGGAGCCCAAGGTGGGTGCCTGCGAGTGAGTGAGTCTGTGTGCGGTCTGTTTAAGAGGATGGCTGGGTTTCCTGCAGCTTTCCAGCCCACCCGGGTGGTTGGAATCCCCAGTTTTTCACAGCCACATGTGGGGGCTCCTCTTCTCAGCACCAGTACTCTGTTCTGGGGAGCCTGGTGTGGTGGGGGTTGGCATCCTGCACTTCTCTGGGGGAAACCAAGGCGGCTAAGATATCCCTCCTGATTCTCAACCACTACACACAGGTGTGGGGCCTATTCCGTGTCTGCCCCTCCTACCAGTCTCGGCATGGCTTCTTTATATTTTTAGTAATGGGACTTCTGTTAGGCTAGACAAGTTGATTGTTCTGTAATTTAGTTGTAATTTTAATGTGTTCACAGAGGAACATAAGCAGGGTGATTATCTACTCCTCCATCTTGGATCTCTGCTTTCTTTTTTATGACTGAATAATATTCCATTTCACATATATACCAATATTCTTTATCCATTCATCCATCAGTGGACACTTAGTTTGTTTCCATGGCTTGGCTATTGTAAATAATGAAACAGTGAACATGGGGGTGTGGATATCTTTTCAAGTTAGTGTTTTGTAAAACTTCTCTGTCAATGTGACTCCAGACCAGGACATTTTTTATTCTTCCTACTAGAAATTTTCTTCCCTCTTGACTTATGTGATGTTGGCATGTCTTAATGTAACTCATTTATTGGACTTTGTCGGGTGAAATAGAAATTTTATTATTTCTGGTCACTATCCCTTTAAACAAATTCTCTGTGGAATTGTTCTTCCCTGTCCCTGGGTAAAATATTGGGCAGAAAATGTTTAGGTAATAAAAATCCTACCTAGTCCAATCTACTTATAAAGCTTTAGTGTCTCAAACATTAAGGTTTTTTTCCTTCCCCACACTTGGGCTTGAATCATGCTTAAAGACAGAGCACTGGGGAGAGGGCTGTGGACATTTGTTATCTTGTCTTCACTAAACTTCCTCTTCCACTTGCTAGCTTCTATTTCAGAGGCTTCCTGAGTTGGGAACATGTAGGAGGAGAAGGTGAAAATTTTATTTGGCCGAGAGACTTTGTGTATTGGAGGTCCAAACATTAACTATTTCTCTTGAGGGGACAGAGATAGCATTCCAACATCCAGCACACAGAACGGATTCTGCATACACTCCCATCTTGTAACTGGGAAATATCACCTGATATTTCAGGACTTAGGTGATGTTTTCTGTGTGACCATTTACAAACCACAATTCAGCTCCTGGCTTCCTATGGTTTTCCCACACATTCTCTCTCTTTGACCCCTTTGGGGTCACCTTACCCCTGAGGTGAGCAGGGATGGTCACTTTCGCTATGATCCAACTACAGTTTCTTTTCATGGGTTCATATGAACCCATCTGAAAGCGCACACACATTTACTCCCAGCATTGGCGAAAGCCCCATCTCCACGCACCATATCTCTCTTCAGCCTCCCTTTGAGTCAGCCTCTTACCTTCAGACTTTCTAGATGAGCATTAAAATAGCCTTTATTCACCCAGCCAGTTTAATTATAAGCACCTTGAAGGCTGAGATTGTGCTGATTTTCTATTGCATTTATCACAGCCAAGAAACATAGTCGAGTCCTCAGATGTAATTGTGAGTTCATTTAATTAATGTTTAACACGAAATCTTATCTCCCACCCCTATAGAATGGTCAATGTGATTGCTACAGAATGAAGAAGCAAATATGTAAATAAGAATAACAGTACTGGATATCTGGGTGACATCAAATTAAATCAAGGAAATAAAAATTTAATTTTGAGGGACTAGTGCTAAAACTATTATAATAAAACATTTATATTCACCTATAGTTTGGATCCAGGATCTTCACTTGAAACACATACATTCCAGTGTGCTGCGTGGGCCACACTAAATGGTTATGGTTCGACTTGTTGATAATCTCATATGGTTGATTTAAGTCTCCTGGTTTTCCAATAGCATAAGAAAAACAGTGCTTATAGTTCTGAACAGGAAACAATGATAAAAACCTTACGGTCATTTTCTGACTTTAACAAACAAAATTATATCCTCATATATTTATCTTGGCAAATTATTTAGAGAGATAATGGTTATTACCGTCTATCATTTTAGTGCTGTATAGTAGTTTTACAGGATATATTGGGTTAACAGTTGATTAAAAGTGACGCTTAGTGAAAGCAAATGCTATATTTATTTTTTATTTGCAGATGATAATAAATTAGGGTGTTGAGAGTATAAATATATTACTTCCCTAAATCAAAAAAGCACAAAATCCACCAAGGATGCTTCATTTGGGGACATACACTATTTTGATCATAGGGTATAGGCGTGTATATATCTCTATATATCTCTCTACATATAGATACATCATATATCTATACACATATATATGTACACATATCTAGATAGATAGATAGATAGATAGATAATTATAGAAATGAAATGCTCTTTAATTTCAGGTATGTTTCATGTAAAGAGCACCTCTGATTGCCATGTTTAGTTATATACAGTGCAGTTACTATACAGTTAATATACCCTTCAGTAAGGGTGGCTTTACTCCCCAGGACATAACTAGTCTTCTACTATATTCAGACTCCAGCCCGAGTTTGCCGTTTTAGTGGCGAGCATTGTGTTTCTCAGATACAGTAGAACTGAACATAGGGCCTGGTATGGGCACTCCAAACCTTTCTAGAATGTAAGCCACTATTTCAATGGTTCTTAAATGTGGCCCCCAGCACTTTTAGAAATGAAAAATTTGGGGTCCCACCCACATCTGTTGAATCAGGAAGTTTGGAGGTAGGATGCAGAGACGTGTTTCAGCAAGTCCTCGGGGTGATTCTGTGTACACTAAGATTTGAGAACCATCGTGCTAGACCGTACTGACTGTTCCTCGCCAGGTGGCTCATTGCTTCCCAAGGAATTTGTTATTTTGGCAGAATCTTAGAACATTTAGGCACCTTTTGTGAGATTTTGGCATATAGAGGATTGCTTACACTATCCTCAACACCAGACTCTTTGATGCCCTTCAACAAAAAGTCAGGAGGATATTTTGTTTTTAACTGATTCCATTACTAGTTTAATTCCTTCTGACTTCTTAAGAGTGGGATAATACTCTTTATAATTGGTAGGCGGTCTATGCTCAATTAATTAGTTCTACAAGTATTTACTGAGCATCCATAATGGGTTCTATGCTGGGGATACAGCAGTGAACACAACAGACAAAATCTCCTTCTCTCATTCTAGTTGGGGAGCCAGATAATAAACAGGATAAATAAGCAGACTACATAATGTGTCGGTGAGTTATAAATGCTAATGACATTAAAGAAAATAGGGAAGGGGGATGTGGACTATCATGGGGTGATGGTAACTTTTACGATAAAGCGGCCAGGGAAGTTTTCATTGACATTGAAGTTGATTTGTAAGTAGAGACCCAATGGAAGAAGCTAGTCAGTCATGGGGGTGGGGGCAGCAAATCGTGTCGGCTTTGTCATAACTAAGTCAGACTGGAACCAGCGCATGGTTTTCAGCAGAAGAGTGACATGTTCTCATTTATGTTTTAGAAAGACCACTCTAACTGCTGTGTTGCGAGTAGATTCATGGCGGGCAAGGCTGAAGCAGGGCAACCAGTTAGGAGGCTGTTGTTATAACTCAGATGGTTGGTGATGGTGGCTTGGAACAGGGTGGTGGCAACTGGGGTGGCGAGGAGTGAACAAATTTAGAATATACTTTGAAGGAAGAGCCAACAAGATTTCCTGAAAGACCAAATGGGATATAAGATGATACTTGGAGGCTTTTATCCTGATCAAACTGGAAGGCTGGAATTCCTTGCCAATGTTGGAGTATGGGTGCAGGGCAGATAGCAGGAGCTCAGTTTTGGACATGGAGAGTTTGAGATGCTAATGGAAGCATCATCAATTTCCTTTTTGTTGTTTCCTCTTTTGGAGTATTCACATCAGGAAACATGTTGTTATTTCTCTCAACTTATTAAAAAAAAATAAGACCTGCTCTTCACCTCATTGCGTTCCAGTTACCTCCCTATTTCTTTCTCCTGTTTACTGCAAAACTCTTCATCAGTGATATCTCTTCTTGCTGCTTTGAATTTCCTTCTTCCACACTTAAATTTACTTCAATAAGGTTTTGTCTCTCACTACCCCACCCAACCTGACCCTGCCAAGGTTACTAGCTATCTCTAAATTGCTAAAGTAAATGATCACTTTTCAATCCTCATCATGGGGGACCTATCTTAAATTTCACATGTTGATCTCTCCCTCCTTTTTATGATTACATGGTGTCCAGAAAGCCACACTCACCTGGTTTTCCTCCTGCTTCTTGGATTATCCCTTTTTTCATCCCCTTTTCCCCTCCTCACTTCCCCAATCTCTAAACATTAGAATGTCCCAAGGTTTAGTCCTTCTCCTTTTATCTCTATATTAGGGGTTCCTAACCTCATAGTGTGTGTGTGTGTGTGTGTGTGTGTATGTGAGTGTGTCTGTAACTTTTCTTATATGGGTCTGTTTATTAATCTGGTGAAGTCTATGAACTACCAAGTATACCTCCTTAGAATAATGTTTTTAAGAAATATAGTATAAAATAGGTTATAATACAAGGAGAGCTAGTTAAAAAGAATTATAGCTGACAAAATATTAAAAACAATATGACAACATATGGCACATTTAAAAATATTTTCTCCTTTAAATAACAGGAATTGTGGGTACATATTAATAGAACGATCATTATTAACCATGAACTTTAACCTAGATAAAGAGGGAAAAGGTAACCTGGGGGTGGGGTGAGAGTGGTAGAATCAGTAGATTAAAGGTTATGTTGGGGTTGAAGAATTGTTAAAAGGATGGTTAAAGCTTCTAGAGATATGTTGCTGGAAAGACAGGGAGTGGTAGATGGAAAGTGGGATGTTTGAAATGGAATAAGGAGGATAATAATACACATTACTTGTATACCTGTCTGTCTTGACATGCATAGATTCTGATGTTGAAGCAAAGCAACATTCTTAGTGTAGGGTGTCCATTTTAGAGGGTGAAGTACCTTATATGTCAGTTTTTACTCATGAGATATGATTTGATTCTCCACATAACATATATTAATTTCAATTCAAGAAAATTCAATTGCAAAAAAATTGAAAACTGAATAAGATTGATAATTGGCATTCAGAAATGATCTTTTAGGCATATAAGAATTGAAACTTCAGGCATTCTTTAGAAAGGCTCACTCTCAGTATTTTAATATATTTGTCAGGATATTTAATAATCTGTAAACACATCTTTCAGCAGAGAAAATTATAACAAAATTGTTAATAACACAGGAGAAACAGAATATCAAACAGAAATTAAGATGAAGCATTTTTGAAATCATAATATAATCCAACAGAAACATTGGACTTTACAAAAACAAATTTAAATCCAAAGTGTTCCTATCACACTTTTATTAATACTGAAATGCCAAAATACTTATTATAAAAAAACAATTTGTACGGTAATGTTTCTCTTACCTCAGGTCCCCAAGCCTTTTCTAATGGGAGGTGCTTATTAAGTTCAGTCATTGACTTCCATGTCTGGGCTTCATGTAAACAACCACTCTGTCAAAAGATTATATATAGTATCTTAGTTTATTCCTAAGTATTTAATACATTTTAATGCAGTTGAAAATTACATATTTAATTTTTTATTATTTAAATGTTTGCTGATCTACAGAGAAACAATTCACTTTTGTATATTGACCTTGTATAGAGAGAACTTAAATTCTCTTATTAATTTTAATTGTTTCACATAGTATCTGTGAATATGATGGTTTTATTTCTTTCTTTCCAACCCTTATACATTTTATTTACTTTTATTGTTTATTGTTTGCCTTATTACAAAGATCAGGAACAATATTATATAGAAGTGGCGATAACTGGTGCCCTTATTTCATTCTTGACTTCAGGCTTTCAAATTTTTACCATTAAGTATGAGTTTTCTATAGTTTGGTTTTGTTGGGTTTTTTTGTATCTACATTTTGTTAAGTTAAGGAAGTTACCATTTATTTATAATTTTCTAAGATTTACTTTTTAAAATAAGGTTATATAAAGATGATAATTTTAAAATAAAATGACATTTCATCAGCTATTATAATAATCTTATGACTTTTCAATTTTGCTGGATATAAAAATCCTTGTCTTACATTTAGTATCTTAAATATTTTATTCCATTTTCTCCTGACATAAAGCATTGTTATAAAAATGACTGGTGATAATATAATTTAATTTTCCTTATAAATGGCTTGCTTTTTGCCGAGACACCCACTTGGGTTGGCTGTTCTGATTTGATATTCTCAAGTGTATGGTATGCTTTTTCAAGGTGAAGCTTCAAACCTTTATTCTCTTAATATAGTGGATTACTTTGATTTTCAAACGATATTCCAATTCTTCATTTACGAAATAAACAAAACTTGGTCTGGATGTATTGTTTTTTAAAATACATTCATGAGTGGTAAGGCTTTTGTGCTGTGGCCTGCCAAGTGAAATAGCAGCATAAGCGGGCTTCCCTGTGAAGGCTGTGATCCATCCGTCACAGAGTAGGGAGGAAAAACCAACAGAGTGTGGGAACAGTGAAGCCAAGTCAGCAGGTCATATGATGCAAGGAAGTCAAGTGAGATGCAACCAGGAGAGTGTAGGTTTCATTTAACACAAATGTTATCAATGTCTGAAAGCCAAAAGCAGAACCATAAACAATCAAACATGAAATACAATGTACAGAGAAAATTAAATACTAATCTATAATTGCATCACCCAACTACAAACATTATTTTTTTCTGACCCCTTTAAGTCTATTTTATATGACGATGACTTGTTATTTCATAAATTAATTTTAGTAGTCATAGAATATAGAGGTAGCGTGTTTTTTTTTCCCTACCCACAGCTGACTGGTTTTATTTTCCTTAGAAAATTTATATGTCGATTTAAAGTAGAAAGGCATGTCTAATTGCATGTTCAATTGTATTTAAATTCTAGGATGACATACCTTCTTCATAGTATTATTAAAGCTATAGTCATTCCTGCCGTGTATTTCCCATACTATGAAATTCACTTCCACATCTTCAATATAACCATTGTTATTGTATCTGAAAGGAACAGAAAAGACAAAAATAACAGTTTAGTGTAGAATGGAGGGGTTAAGAGCTACAGCTTTCAAGTCAGATGGGCTTAGGTTTAAATCCTGTCTTTATCCCTTAACCGTTTTGTGACCCTGGGGAAGTTACTTAAACCCTTGAAGCCTTAATCTTCTTGCCTGTGAAAATAATAACAGTACCCACTGTATAGGTTTCCTTCAACCAACTCCCAGCATCAACCTAACAGTAATGAAGCGGAAAAATTTTCATTCTTTTAACAGTGGGAGCCATGAGTTCTCTTTGCTTTGATAGGAACCATATATTGATAAGGTGAGGGTCGCAGAGGCTCTGCTGTCATGGCTGGTAGCAGGGAGTGAGTGATGAATGGAGGAAGGCCACAGCCAGGATGCCCCAGTATCATTTGATCAACAAATATTTAGTGGGTGCCTGTTATGTACCAGAGAATGAAACCACAGAAGGACTAGGATGAGAATGGAGATGCTGCAAATCTCCCTGGAAGGTGTGGCTGGGCGTCAGAGGACCAGCAGCACCTGGAAAAGCTGAGCTGGGCTGAGAAGCGGAAGTCATCAGAGGCTCCCTGGAGCGATGGTCACTCACAGCCCAGGCTCGGGGGACACATGATAACTTCTACCAGCAGAAGACCCCAGCACACAGTCCAACATGATCAGGGTGCCCACTCCCCTAAGGCTGGCGCTGGAGACATAAGCCCCCATTGACCTAAGAGGGTTTACTCCAAACTCAGAGAGTTTTAAATGAGATGTGTTACTTTAAGATTATTTTTTTCCTGCTATTGTATGAAAATAGGGGCTTGAGACCGAAGCTGAAATTCAGTTACTCATAAATTCATACATTTGCATGCAGAGTTTGTGACTGTTTTAAAAATGGTTACATGTCTTCCTTCTCCAGCAGTTATTGCTCATTTTTCTGAATGCAACCGTCCCCCGCACCTCTTGGATGGGAATTTCCCTTAGGACCTTGGTCTTGGGCAGGTTGCTTCAGTGTCTGATATATTTTCTTGTGTCACATCTCTGTTTCCATTCATGAAAATAACAGATCCTTGGCAGCATCTCTGTGTCCACTGCCCAGATCTCTGCCTGATTTTGCAGTCATTTTACATACATGGCTTTAGGTCCACTAGAAATTGCTACCATCCACTCCTGGTTATAAAAACTTATCGTCCCATTCTCACAAATTGGGCAGAAAAATCCTAAGTGTCAGAAAGTAGTATCTGAGAAGCTATTTTATTTCCATCTTAATTGTTCGAAATTGTAAAGAGAGGAGGAACTCTGGGGTGACTAATTAGGGATTGGAGTGGTGGTGCTTGGCTTCTTTGATGGGGCAGGAGGAGGGTCCTAGAGAACTCTAAACTCTAATGAGAACTCCGGAGCCTCCCCACAGGAAAACGCACACACACAATTTTGTTCAGTTTCACAGATTTGGGTCAGGCTTTAGCAAAGCTCTCATTCTAGGAACTTCGGAAGGTGTACATGCTTTGTTGCATCTTCTGAAAGCCATCACATTCTTGAATTATTAAGACTAGTCGCAAAGTCACATGTTTTATCTAAATAAAGAAGATCTTGGGGAGTACACCATAGGGAATAGAGTCAATGGAATTCTAACAGCTATATACGATGTCAGAGGGGTAGTAGATCGGGTGAGGGGGGGTTATCACTTTGTGAGGGGTGTAAATGTCTAACTGTTTACATTGTTTTGTACACCTGAAGCTAATAAAAAAAAGTATATACATAAAAACAGAAAGATCTTGGAACTCTGAGCTGGCATCTTTTGACACTCATGAAAGCCATAAGCTACAGTGTCATCTAGTGGCAACAAGCATAAATTGCATGACTCGTACTTTCTGGGTTAATAATGATTTTTGATGTTTATTTCATTGAGAATATGGGAAAAAACACTTGCCTGAGTAAGCATGGCTTATTTTCATTAAAGTTTATTAATGTAAGACATACTACTAATTAAGCCTGAGAAATTTAGAAATCTCACCAGCTGGCAACCAACTTCCCTACACTTTGTAACTTCTCCCCTGTGACAGTTCCACTTTTGCAACTGGGAAGGAGAGACCTCTCTGTAATATGTTTTCAGTCCTGTGTGTCCACTCTGGATAGCCCATTGTATTGTGATGCTTTAATATCTGGGGCCTTCCTGACCCTGGAGGGACTGGCCCTCCAGGGTTAATTAATTGCTGGATAGCAAATAATTTGCCTTTGAACATGGCTTTCATTATGCAAACCAACTAATCCAGTGCCCCCACTCCCAACCACCTTCCTGCGCTCTCACACTCCCTCTGGGCCACTTATCCACCTGCCCTGACCGCCTCATGGCCAGGTACTAAACAACTAGGGAAAGCACCTATGAAATTATTCAAAATAGCTCATCCCCAGCCTGCTTACCCTGCCATGTCCATTCCTTCCCATAGAAAACACAATAAAGGCTATTGCCTCCCCCCCCCCCACCGTTTTCCCCTCACTCCCTCTGCCTCCTGGCTGACCCTGGTGTTTCCCTGTGTGGCCCTATGTGGCCTGCTGTCTCTCCTGTCGCTTGGGATCAATACATATTAAGTTTCTTTCTTCCTGATAGTCATTTCCATGTCTGCGTGTCTTACCACATCTGATTCAAACAAATCCTGAGTATCCCTAAAACACCCATGATACCTATTCCTGAACTCTCTGCCTCATAGTAGAGCACTTATGTCCCACCATTTCCTCTGGGGTGGCTTCTAGTTCGGGATGGCTTGTCATGGGAGTTCAGAAGGCGAAGGGGTGGCTGGGAAGACTGACATTCCCAGTTGGATGACACTCCTAGGACTTGCTTCGTTCTTATTAGTGTTTGGTGGTGGATCTGTTGTGGTGTTATCTGTAAAATTCTCCCCACCGCATTCCTGAGCCATTCTCTATAAAGGTAAAGCATTTATTGTAATCTAGAGTCCTAGGCCACAGACCAATGTCCCAGTGGCCATCCCTGTCTGCCAGCTCCTCAAAGCTTCGTTACTTGGCACCCAAATTTGCCTCTGATAAATACCTAATCAAATACCCAGTTGTCAACTATGCATTGCTATCATTCCCTTGAACTGGACACTGAGCTCACTGATCTGTCCCTCTGTAGTTAGCCTCCAACACTTGGTTGCTTTCCCGAAGAGAATGGAGGCAACAAGCTTTGTCAAGTGATTCCTGGTAGCAGACACATAAATAAGTTACCTCTAGAAAAAAAGTGCTTCCACAGTAGTCCGAAGTAGCGCTGCTGCAGGAGTCCACTCTCTGGCCCCAACCTCTCCCATCTTTTACGTGTCCTCTCACTTGACCTCAGAGAGTCTTCCGGGCCCCCCACTCCTTCCTGCTTTCCGATTACACGGCAGCTCCCTTAGCCTCTCTTCCTTCCCTCCTCAAGCCAGTCTCATGGTTGATCACCTGACTCCCTCCCTCACCAGCATCCTTGGTTCACTGAGTTCATTCGTATTTCTTCTCCAGAGGTCCCAGGCGATGAATTGTTCTTCCTCTTCTGGCCTTGCCACCGAGGCCTTTCTTTGATCTTACTTCCCAGTTTTCTTCACGGATCTTGCTCCTAGATAACTTATTTAATATTTTTATTTTTAATTCTTTTTTAAGATTTTTATTGGGGAATTGGGGGGATGGGAACAGTGCTGGGGAATTGGGGGAAGGGGAACAGACAAGTTGCTGTCCTTTTGTTCTTCAGTCTAGTTGTGGAGGACGTTGCTTCACTGGCCCAAGTTGGCACCATCATTGCGCTCTTCCCTGGCGAGGCAGATCAGCCGCCGGCTTCTGGACGGCCGCTCACAGCGGCTGCTGGCCGCTCACGCTGGCTGCTGGCCACACACGGTAGCCCATGGCAACCCACTGCCACAGGGGCTGCAGCCTAGGCCGTTGCCGGCAACTCAGGGCAGCCCAGCTCCAGGTTGAGCTGTTGTTCAGCATCTTAGCTGTGGAGGGCAGTGTCACTGGCCCTCATATGTGGGATCCGAACCGGGGCCCTCTGGCATCCCAAGCCAGTTCTTAACCAACTGAGCCACTCGGCCGGCCCCAGTCGATATGTCTTAAAAAAATTTCTCTCCTCCAATTATATCTAAGAGACTGTTTGATGTTGTCCCACAGATCACTGAGGCACTTAGTTAATTTTTTTCTCTGCAGTACAATTTGGATAATTTCACTAAACCTTTCACCTGTTTGCCCAATTTGCTGTTAAGTCCATCTTATTTATTTTTAAATTCAGATGCTGTATTTTTATTTTTTAAATAATGAAAAAATTTTCCAATTACAGTTGACATACATAGTGATTAGACATTTATATAATTTATGATCACCCCGATAAGCCTTAGGACCTAAAGATACTGTAGCTTTAAATTTTAGCATTCCAATTGGGCTTGTTTTTTAAATAGCTAACATTTCTCTGCTGAGATTCCCCACCTGTTCACCCATTCTGTACACTTTTCCTAAGGATTTTTAAACATATTTATATTTGCTGTATTAAAGTCCATGTCTGTTAGTATCAGCCAGAGTCTGGGTCATCTGCAGTCTGCTGCTATTGATACCTTTTAATGATTATGGGTCATTTTGCTGCTTCTTTGGAAGCCTAATAATTTCTCATTTTTTGTTTAACACTTTGAAGTATACACTGTTGAGACTCTGGGTTTTGTTATTTTCCTCTAAAGAGTTTTTAAAAATTCTTTTCTTTCTTGTTCTGGAAGAAAGCTAAATAGCTGGTAGGTCTCCCTGGTGTTGTAGAGCATTAGTTTCACGACTTGTAGGGCTTTATAAATGTTTAGTTTTGCCCTTAAATCCCAGGGCATAGCATTTTGTCCTTGGCTTACTTATCAGCTGTCACCCTTTTGGTTTCAATGTGTTGAGCCTCAGGTGTTCTCCAATACCCTGTAAGTAGGTGGGACTTAAACTCCAAACTTTGTCTCTTAGCATCAGATAGCTGTTGAAATTTCTGCTTCCTTTCCTTGCAACATGCACAATTCAAGAGTTAGCCAAGAATTTGAGGAAAAAGTTTTCCATATTTTTGTTGCTTCGTCTATGTGACTCTATCCTTTCCAGGATTTTAAAATCTAAATTGACAGCTATTTTGCAGTCCCAAATTTCAATGTCTGTCTCTTAGGTCCAGCAGAAACTGTTCTGCTTTCTGTTCCCTCATACCCTGCTCCAAACTGGTAAGTGACCCCCCCAGAGGACAGTCTTACTTAGAAATCTTCCCTTTTTTCAAGGATCATGTGTGTCACAGTTTTTGCTCTCCAGTGCTTCTAAACAATCATTTATTACATTTTGTTCAGAGCATATAAAATTGTTATTGGGCAAAATATAGGTAAAATAAAAGCTACTTTGCCATTTCTAGAAATTCAATTCTGGATGATATTTGTCTGACAACTTTTGGCCCATTGTTTTGTATATAACTTTTAGGACCTGCTTGTCACATTCTGTTAAAAACCTTGATGGAATTTTTATTGGAATTGCCTTGAATTTATGCATAGATTAGAGGAGAAATGATACCAGAAGGATGGGGTTGCTATCAATTGAAATGAGAAAGGCCATTGATGGAGCAGGTTTTCATAGAAAGATCAGGAGTTTGGTTTTGGACAGGGTAGGTTTGATATATCCATTCACTATCTAAGGAGGAACCTGATATATTTATTCAACATCTAAGTGAATTTATGGATCTGGTGTTCTGGAGCTTTGCGGACACTGTTAGTGCTCACCAAATATTTTTGTAGTCCTTCTTGGAGTTAGATTGGGGCCATGGCATTATGTTCCAGATAATAGGATATGGGTACAAGTGGTATAAACACTTCTAGGTCTGACCGTTTAAGACATACCCTATAACCCTCCAGTCTTCTTTTTTCCAGTTATCTTTTTTCATAGTGGAAACCTAGGGGGCCATGTCCAGATGATATAGCTATGACATATGTCAGATTATGACGTGAAAAGAGTTAAGCACGGAGATATTAGGGTTTACTTGTTACTGCAGCATAGCCTAGTCATATTTGACTAACACAAAGGGAGATATTCAGACCAGTGATACAGTTTGGGACTTTATCAGTATATCAAGACATTCAGGTCCATGAGGCTGGATGATATCACTAAAAGAGCAAGTTGAGATAGAGAAAAGAAAAGAAAGCCCTGAGCCTTGTGCATTCTAACATTAACAGGTCATAGAGAAAAGGAGAAATTAAGAAATTAAGGAGTTGCTACCAGAGAGGCAGCAGAAAAAGTAGGAGAATGTGATATCCTGGAAGCCAAATGAAGAAAATATATTAAGTAGGAGATAATGCTCAAATGTGTCAATCTTTGTTAATGAGATCAAGTGAGATGAGACCAGAGAACTGAACATTGGGTTTAGCAACATGGAGGCTACTGGTCACCCTGGCTGGCAGTGCGAATGGAGTGGTGGCGGGAAAAGCCTGACTGGGAGGGATTTGGGAGAGAATAGACGAGTTGGTGACAGGGAGTACAGTAGCTAATGGGGTAGTGGGGTTAAGAGGAGGTTTTCGTTTTTGTTTAAGGAAAGAACTGCGTTATTTGTATGATGAACGAGTAGAGAGGGTAAAGTTGATGATGCAGGAGAACGAAGGGAACCTTTCAGGAGCAATGTTCTTAATTAGGAAAGCGGGTGGTGATACAGTTAACGGATGGAGGGACAGACCTTAGATACACACGTAGTTTGTCTGTGGTGATTGGAAGACATAGGTACAGATGCTTGAAGATGAATAGATACGGTGGAGGAAGTTTGGGGGAGATCTCTTCTGACTGATATCACCTTTGGCTCACTCATCTTCCTCGTTCTCTCTTTCCCTTACCACTCACATTTATCTGTTATTAAGCCCTGCCTGTTATAATCACTAATTTTCTCATAAATGATTCTTCTTCTTTGCCCTTGTTGCTATTTCATTTATTTCCTCTCTGGACTAGCAATACAGTTTACTACCTGGTCTCCTTACTTAGACTCGTTTCCCTGAAACTCATCATCTATACTCCTCCCAGAGGGAACTAGTTAAAGAAAATATTTGATCATGCTGCTCCCCCGTAAGAATGGATAGAAAGACTTCCAGCATCTGGAAGTTTCCCAGCCTCTTCTGTCACTTCATTCCTCACTGTATTCCCCATCAACATTATACTGTTTGAACTATACATTTTCTTCCTCAAACTATCACTGTTGCTTGACGGCTTAGCCAGTGGGATTTTTATCTATCTATCTATCTATCTATCTATCTATCTATCTATCTATCTATCTATCTATATCTATTTATTTATTTTAGCTGAGCCATCCTGTTGGCAGCTCAGCGGCAGCTCAGCTCGGGCCGGGAAACGAACCGGCAACCCAGTTGCTCAGAGCTCACACTCTTAAGCGAGCTCTTGACCATCTGAGCCACTTGGCCAGCCGCCAGTGGGATTCTTTATTACCTTCCTTACTTCTTCTCTCCTTCCCTCCCCTGCCTTTATCTAAATAGTCATCATCTTTTAAGACTCAGTGACGCAGCACAAATGCACTTTTCCTGGGAACATTTCCCAGAGCCCCTCTTCCTTCCACAGCTAGACACATACTTTCCTTTTGCATTTCAATACCACCCACCACCCACATTTCCTGCTATCATTCCACTTAGCACATGAGCCCTTACTCCTATGCTTATCCAATGCATCAGACTTTTGCCCTTGAGAGCAGAAATCCTCATTTATCTTTGAATTTCCAGTGCCTATCACCGTAATTGGTGCAGAGTAGGTATTTAATAACGATGAACTGCACTGAAGGGTGCACTTCTTTGGGAGAGAGCACGAAGATGTTTTAACCCCTGGGGGATGATATACTAGGCCTCCGTGGGGGAGGGAGTGCCCAGGGTGCCTGGGTGAAGCGGTGGCATGATTAGATGTCTAGAAGAAGATCAAAACTAAGCAAGACAGCAGACTAGCCCGATAGCTCAGAGAACCCACGACAGGGATTGTAAGAGGGTGATGTGAGAGGGTGTGAGCACAGCATGAAATCTGAGAACCACCATGGGTGACAAGTGGGGGGAACGACACACTGGCAGAGGCCTTTTGGATCCCAACAGAGAAAGCGCTGAGGGTGATGCTCAGTTGGGACCCCTGGACTCCTTACCTGCCCACCCTGCGGGATCTCAGAAGCTGTCCGTAGCCTAAGAAGGCCTCAAAAGATGAAAGCCTTGACTACGATTTTGATGTTTTGTTTATAATGGAAAAACAACAACAAAAAACACATGGGTCCTTTAATCTCTTATTTTTTTATATTTTAAATTTTGTAACAAACTGTATAACTTCTATAATCATAAGTCAAGAATAGATTCTGAGAAGCAAGCAAATGAATACAAAAGTACTTCGAAAAGCCTTCCTTGTAGTATTTTATCCATATTTTATTGTGCAATATTATTTTATAAGAATTAAGTTAGAGATAACATTTTTTTTAAAATAAAAAGGATGATTTTATTTTTCTTTTTTGGTAGAGATAGAATGGTGCTTCTTGGACCTGAGCACCTTCAATACAGTTAGCTATAATTTAAGGATGGATCTAACCAGGGACCAAAACACTGCAGATAAACCAGAACATCTTTTCTCTTTGTTCTCATCTCGGTTTCCCTTCATGCTAGCAGTAGGCATTCTCTCTTGTTGTAGATCAACTTTCTTTGGAGATAACATTTTTGAAATCTCCCCAATGTACTGTCCCTTATTAGGAATAGTATTTTTCCTTGTAAGCTTTTAGTTATCATTGGCCCATGGAAAGAAAAGTCATATGTCATCTGGGGAATGTAGTTCCTATGAAACAGGCAGGGGTGCTGGTAGGAACTTGGGGAGAAGATGAAAGAGGATAAAGTCTCAGTTCTCTTACACACTTATGTTTCACTACTAACCTGTAACCTCCTTCAACATGCGGAGACCATGAATTGTGCAACTTTGTATATCTAGTACTAAAAACCTAGTGGCACATATATTTGGTGCTGAAAAATATTTATTATTACTTATATGATTAATTAGCCTTCTTTTCATGCTTTTAAATTGAAACTTTCAAAGTAAGTTTAAATTTTAGTGAGACTATACTTACAGTTGAATCAAAGGGTGAAACTTTTCTCTGAAATGAAGTCTCAATGGGCAGCCATATTTTTTCCAGCTATATTTTACTCTCTAGAAAAGGAAAAATGCTTTAGTTATTTTCTATATTTGGCCAATTGATAAAATTATAGTTTTCTTACCAAGTTTTTAGATGGTTGATCCCTCAGATATGACCTGTAAAAAAAGACAGTTTTCATTACTTATCTTTCCTCTTTTCAAGCTTCAACATTAAAACTATTACTTTGGGTAAGGAGGTATCACAAAAGTCAAATAGATAACCATAATCACAAAATACTCCCAAAATATGTGGAGGTTAAACAACATACTTCTAGGTAACACATGGGTAAAAGAAGAAATCTTAAGAGAAATTTAAAAATATTTTGAGCTAAATGAAAGTGAAAACACAACTTATCAAATTTGTGAGATGCAGCAAAAGCAGTGCCTAGAGGTAAATTTATAGCAATGAATGCATATGTTAGAAAAGATTGGTGCTAATAAGAGTAAATACTAACCAATTCTAAATTATTGGTACTACATTAATAAAAAACTCAGGGCTTATGTCAAAAATATTTCTTACTTTTCAATAATGTAAAAGAAATCATGATGAAGACATTCTCTTTCATTAAATCTACAAAAAACAAACAAACCATAATGAAGTTGTAATATCATCATTCCTTTTATACTTGCACAAACGTTTAATCATTTAACTCAGTAATTCTCAAGCTTGAGAGTATGACAGAATCAGCACTTATTGAATTGGAATCTCTGGGGTTCATGTGTTGCCCTGCATTTCTATTTTTAAAAATGTTTCACAAATGTTTCTGAAGACACCAGAATTTGAAATCTACTGATTTACCTCTTATATTTGATACATGTGAAAAATTGATAGAAAATCTATCAAAACGAAGACAAATTTCTTTGGACAGGTTTATTCCTCATATATATTTTTTTTAAAAACACAGGTTTCTAACTGCTACTGGAGACTCAGTTGTGCAGGTAAGGAGCTACTTTAAGGATTCACATAATTTCTAGTTAGGGTTCATGCAGACTTAAGGCTATCATGGTATATGAAACGATAGTGTTCTTAGTAAGTTATTCATTGGACCATTTTTGTTGGCTGTTTCCAGTGTAACTTAAAAGGAACCCTAGTCACCACTGCGTTTAGGTAGATATTGGAAGTCCGGACCATTTCCCGCCCCGAATTAGTCCCCAAGAGATGCCCTTCTCCACTGACAACTCTCCTGGTGGATGGGAAAACCTTGGGCTCACCACCACCTGAATTCTAGATAGGAGAGTTGTTTTTAGGTTCCAGAGCAGTGGGTCATTGACTAAGAGCCTGAAGTAAGGTTCTGAAATCTGCTTTTTAAACATGTTCTCCAGGTGATTCTGATGAGTAACCAAACTTGACAATTGCTATCTAGACCCTTCCAGAAATTGAGTCAAGCTACTTTGCATTCTCACCAGAAAAGGAAATCTTCCTGCGGTGGTACTGGGAACTGATTTTGATAACATGTTGCTCAGGGCAGTTCTTCTCAAATTTTAGTGCCCCTACTAATCTCCTGGAAATTTAGTGAGAATAGAGATTCTGACTCAGCAGGTGTGGGATGAGGCCTGAGAGCCTGCATTTCGAATAAGTTCCCAGGTGATGCCAGCTCTGGTCCATAGACTGCACCCCCAGGTGCAAGCATATAGACCATCCCAGAAATAGGATGCTACAAGCTGTATAAGTCAGTTAGCTTTTGTGCTTCTGGGGAAAGGAATTATGGGAAATGAAAATTCCTTGCTGAATGAGATGGGAAAACTTAAGTATCGACCCAGGAACTGACTATTACAAGTCAGTCCTCAGAAGATGATTGGAATGACAGATGAGCAGACATTTGCTTTGGGTGAAAGCAAGTCATTTCATAAATAGACTCAGATAAGAGTCAGTGTTCCCCCATCCTCACCGCCCTCCTCACCACTGGAAAGGATGGCAATACGTTGCTGTCACCGTTATACATTTAACCTCAGTTAAAAAGATGTGTGTCTGCTGACCTTGATTCTCTCCCATGTGGAAGGAAAGAGCTGTGGCAAAAGGATGACACAAAATCCAGTGTACATCATTGCAAATCACAGTAAGATCAATGGAAGTCACACCTGGGGGAATGACTGGAGGAAAGACTGGTGGTTCTGCTAGGTTTGCTCTAAAAAATTTCCCATCAAAAATGGTGCAGGAAACTGAGACTTCTCTAATTGGATATAAGCAAATCGCTGATGGAAATAAAATTATAACTGGTTTGGGTGGGATGGTAAACAGTAAATGTTTCTCCCTCTCATTGCTCTGGGGATGAGTTGTAGTTTGAAGAGCTGAGAGAGGTAATAGCAAAAGATGGAAACTGGCTTGTTACAAGGGAAGGTGGAGAAAAATGCAAATAGAGGGAGGTTAATTTTTTTTCCCTTTTGGTATGATTCAAATGTAACATTTGACTTGGCAAAAAGTCCAAACAATTTTGGTTTGGATGCCAATATCAATTCAATTTTGGATTTCATTCTGGACATATCAAGTCATTAGGCTAATATTATCACTAATAATTACCATTTGGTTCACCATTTGCTTTAAAATGTAAAAAGTAAGAGCGTTCAAATGCAAATATACTTACCCTTTAACAACAATGAATTTATTAGTATCACAGCCAACAGTTAATCGGAACACCTAAAATGAAGCAATTTAGGTGGTGAGTTCAGTGGTTCTGGTTCATAAGGTCTAAAATATTTCTATAGCTAAAAGGAATTACATTTTAGATTTGAAATAACCCTTTAAATGTAGGGTTTTGTTATACATACTGCTCTGTTCTGTTTTCCTTCTTCTTTGATCACTTTTCTCTCTCTTTTTTTCCCTCATCAGCTAATTTTTAATAAAGCCCATTTTCAGGATTTATAATGTTTAAATACAGACATTGGAATAATATGACTTAATTTGAGCCTCACACATAAGTAACCGATAGTTATACATTTCCCCCCCAGGAATGACCCATTAACCTTACTTGCCTGTTTTTTAATTTTTTTATTTTATGGTGTGACATTTGTTAATATAATTATATAGGTTTCGAGCATACAATTCTATAACACATCATCTATATATCACCACACAATCTCCTTCTGTCACCGTGTATTTGACCCCCCTTATCCTCTTCTACCACACCCCCACCCTTACCCTCTGATAACCACTAAACCGTTGTCTGTGTCTATGAGTTTTTGCTTATTTGTTTGTCTTGTTCATTTGTTGCTTTCAGTTTCTTTGCTTCATTCCTCCCTTCCTGCTCACGAGGCCCCAAGGTTGGTTCTCTGATTTCTTACATCGGTATCTCAGAGAACTGCTCCGATCTCACCTTTCACCAGCACCTCTACAGCCATGACTATCAACTCTGCACTTCCAGCTTGCACCTGACTCAAATGGCAGGTTTCTGTAACACATCTAGTTATTAATTTGACTTCTTTTTAACCAGAGTCCTGGTTCTTCCTTGACTGGGATGACTACTTCTATTTCTGCATGGCTCCAGGACACCTTACCTGCTGCTGTCTACCCTGACTCCCATCCCCTCCCTACCCCCCAAAGGCTTCTAAGTGGGATCTAGACCCTTGTATTTTGTCTTAAGCACGTCCTGTATGTCACGTATTTCCACAAGGCAAATCTGAAAACCCCTAATACTTCTTGCCCTAAAGGAGGAATTGGGAATGAGGAGGGTGGGGATAGAGAATGATGTCCAGCCAAGCTTGATAGGTTTAGAGATTTATCCTGCTAAACCAAGACCTTTCAGGCTTCCTTTGAAAGGCATGCCCCACAGCAGTTCATGGGTTTTGTCTTTGGAACCACCTGCTCTCACCCTCAGGACCTGACTTATTCTTTTAACAACTCTACCCACAGTCCTTGCTGTCCATCATCATTAAATCATTAAATGTCTTCCTATCAAATGCATTCAGAAATATGGGGCTGTCCTTTCTCATTACTAAATTATTCATATAACATACATGATTGACTGAGGTCCTGAAATCTCTCAGGTCAGGGCCCATCACTGATTATCTCATTCGTAACATCCCTTTTATTCAGGACCTAGTTGACAAAAGTCACCCCCACCCCCCAGCCTCAGAATCAATAACTTGGACTCGGATTAAAAATATGAGTTGACCTGTAGGTGGATATCTTGAACAAGAGCATGGGTACAGAGTGTGGGAGCATGAATAAGCCTGTTTTCTTGGGTACCCACTGCTGTAGGGCTGACACATGTCCCCCAGGACTGGACACCTAAATAGAGAAAGCCCAAAAGAAAACAATGAGTGCATTGGTTTTCTTTCTTTACTGTTATTCTCTTAAGTGCAGAGACAGGGCAGGAGTGCTCCTGCCTTAGCTCAGAATCAGACACAGCCTATTCCCTCTAACTGGACAGAACAACGGGACTGAGAGAAATTCTAAAAGCCCTCAACACAGAAATGTTGGTAGATAATGTATTAGACAGAGCACAGTCGTCTCTTCCTGGGGAAATTCATCGTGAAAGGAATCACCAAGGCCCTCTGGGGACAGGCTTACTTGGGTGGCCTCATGGCATTCTGGATCTTGGTGCATGTTTCAAAACTGAGATGTGGCCCTGCGGGAACGGCCAGTTCTATTTTCTGCTCTGCTGCAGGCTATGAAGACTAAGTAACAAAGATGGCAGGCTCCTGTTCCAATGGCTCAGTCCATGGTCCATTTGGTCCAGGGGTTTATCAAGGCCTAACTTGACCCAACTAGAAAAGAAGTCTGTGGGCCATGGTTCCACGTACCTAACGCAGCTGGGCCCTGTGTCTCTATAATATTTATCTGGGAGGCTGATGACTTGCTTACTGGTGGGGACAGGCACACGAAGAAGGGTTTTGGGGTTGAGAGCATCCCTTGTAGCTGTGTACAGGTTTGATTTTCTTGTCTAGCTAGAGGACCTACCTCCACAAGCCTATGTTTTCCTGTTGCCTACAGGGCTATTGCATGTGTCTCCATTCTGTTTCAGCGGGCAGCTCAGTATAAATGACCTGGGGCACAGAGCATGGCTAGATTTAAACCTCTGGGTGTGCCGAGGAGGAAATAAAAGGGGGAAACCGGCAATGGTAGATAATTACTTTGTGATCGGCACTGTTTTGGACACTTTACTTACATGATTTCATTTAATGCTCTCGCCAGAGTAGGTAAATACTGTGAGATAGATGCTACCCCCCTTTTACAAATGAGGCAGCTGAGACTCAGTATTTAGTAGCTTGCCCTAGTCCAGCAGGTGGGTGAGCTTGGATCTGAACTCAGGCTAGATTTACCTGCTTTTGTAATGTCTGGGCTGAGAGGGACAGGGTGAATCGGGA